TAAGCTACAGCAGTCTAAAAAGTCAAGAGAAGTCTGAAGATATTATTTTTCCAAAATTTCGTTTGCCTGTTGAGATCATGGTTAAGTTAAGTAAAGAGCAGAGAGCTTTTTGTATTGAACATTACCTCTCCACAAGCTCACCACCCCTAACATTTCGCAAGTTCTGCGCACTGCACGGAAAGAATACTTAGGTGCCCTCAAGACCTTTGGTGTCATGAGTAGAGAAGTTCTTCCGTCAGTTTGGATCCATAGCGAATCAGAACTAAACATTTCCGTAAAAAGGACCTCTTCAGGTCGAACACGCACCATGCGCAGCCCTTTAAACGTCACCAAGGTGCAGATTTCAGCAGTCGAGTCCCATGAAACGTCCGTCCGTAGACGATCTGCAGCTAGGACTTTTCTTCACCTCAACAGTCTGCATTCTCATGGCAGATCTTAACCTACGACTGTACCATTTTCATCTTCGCTAGGCCGAGATGACACGGATCGGAGTATAGCAAAGTGTTCATGATTCCTCGACTGCCTTGAAAGCGGGATCATGTCCTCTATGACATTTGGTTTAGTGCAAAGCCCATTTTCACCCTGCGGGATATTTAAACTCCAAAAATGCTGTTTATTGGGCACCCAACTCCCCATTGTCTCTAGAAGCCACTTCATACTGAATATAGTGAATGTGGCTTTAAACACTCGTGGTTTAGCATGTCATTGTGTTTGGGCGCCATTGAACATTTCGAACGACAAGTTAGACATGTGTAGAGTCCAAAGGAGGGCATGTAAAGCACTGCTTCTAGGAATTCCAGAATGAAATCGTTAGGTTTTTTTTAACTCTGTAAAAGAAATAAAATATTGTTTAAATGTTACAGGGATGGAAAATTAAATGTCAAAGAGAAAATAAGAAAAAAGGTCAACCATTCTTTTCAGGACTTCCTTAACAAGATTGTTTACAGCCACTAATCTCACATATGATGTGTGTGTGGTTAGAGGGTTATTTATTTGTGGGAGGGGTTCATGTCATGGATTACGATGGTTCACATGCCTCAATAATCAACAGTTGAAAGTTTGTTACTGACTGGTCAATGTAGGTAAACAGTGGATGGGATCAGAAGCCTGGTGCTCATCAGCAAGTGGAAAGTATTTCTTTTATAGATGAGGCTACAAAATAACGACAGGTGAATTGTATGACAGTTTGTCCATATCAGGGGCAGATATATACAGTCAAACCTACTTCAATGACCACCTGTCAAAGACAATCACCTGTACAAACGGCCACTTCCCATTTCCCTCCTTGCGTATTTTTTACATAATAATAATGACACTGTGTAAGAAGGGCACCTTCTTGAGGTCATTTTTTGCCTTGACAATAGGTGGCCATCTTAAAAAATTATAATAATATATTCAGGGATGAAACTGATCAGTCCAAAATTTACTTAACTCTTTCGGGCTATACAGATTTAGAAAAATACACTTAATATTTGGAAAGATATATACTCCATCAAGGCCCTCCTCTCTGCCCTTTATGGATCAACTTCGTGTTGGAGTGCCAGTGGAGAATCTTATTTCTGCATCAACAACAGATTCAGCAGCATAAATGAGGGAACGTCAGATCCTACTTACGGTACGGATTTAATAAATTTATGGAAAATTTCCATTTACTTAATTATCCCGGAAGAAAATTTTCTTCGCGGTACAGTATCGTAAAAACACATGCAGGTATAATATACGAAATTTAAATTAATTATATATACTACTCTCTTTAAAATTCAATACGAAAACAGAAGTAAAGCAGACAAAATGAACATATCACATCAGATGCGATGCATCATTCAACTACATGAAGGAATCTAATTACAAGACCTTTAGAGTTATATAGATACATACTCAAAAGAGCAATACACACTGATGGTTATTCTGACAATAGCCTTACGCTAGAGTAAAAAACTTCTTTCAAATATCTTTCTTGCTTTGCTTTTAGAGGTACATATCTGATGTTGTGTGATCTTACAAATTACGTGTAAAGGGGGTGAGATGGGTCGTTTGTAATGCTTTTTATCTTTTTTATACTTGTGGTGTTATACCTTTCATTTAGTAAAATCATATCCAGAGATCTTGCTGGCTTTCTTAGCGGTTCTGTCGAATTTTTCTTTATCTTTCACCCTACAATTCCAAGCCCAGCAGCAAATACAAAAATAATACCACGCTTATGTTATGGCAACACGTCAAGCAATGAAAGATTTGCATGGCCAGCTAGGATTGTTTTTTTGGAGCCAGTGGTTGATAACAGAGTGGCAGCAGCTGCATTGGAGCGGAAGTTGTATACCGCAGTGCCACTATAGAAAAAAATGCAAGAGTGGAAGTGGGAAGTGGCTGTTTGTAAAGGCGATGTCTTGGACAGGTTTTAATATAAAATTATATTATTTTTAAAAAGCTTTCCTCAAAACCTCCATAGAGAGCAATATACATGACATTAAGAGAACATTTTTACAAAAAATAATCACTCTCTATAATAAAGAAACTTTGAAAGTAAGCAACAAAAAAGGATCAAGAGTTCTGAACAAAAAAAGAGTTCTGTAGAATGAAAACAAAAAATAACTGAAGCCAACACTTACAATGGAAACAGTAATCTATTAGTGAGTCTAGACAACTCTGAAAACCATGAATTAAATTATAAGAACAGCAAAGTACAGACATGTGGATCTAATTGCACATGGATAAACAAAGATATTGTTTACACTACATGTATTTGTATGAAACAAATTGGGAAGGAGAGATTAGTCAGCACAGCAAAAGAGCTCGATGTCCATGGCATCCAGGGCTTCCTGAGTCTTGTCCTTCAGGTCCATCTGCTTAACACAGTTGGCGTGCCACCACTTGTCACAAAGCATGCACTGGGTGAGTGTCCTGCGGTCGTGGCTCCACACCCAGCACAGTCCACCGTAATGTCCCCACAATTGTCGGAGCTGTCGTCATACACCGGCTCTTCACCTGAGTCAGAGGAATCTTCCTCCTCTTTCTTCTTCTGTGAGCCCACAACCAAAGCATTCATCTACTTCTCTTGAATTCTCCTTTTCTTCTCCTCCTCTTTCTCCTTCTTTGCCTGTTCCCTTTGTTTTTTAAAATTCTTTTTGGCTTTCCTTCTTGTCTTCAGCTTGTGCTAGCCGTTCCATCTTTCTCTGCTCCCTTTGCTTCTTTCTCTCTTCCTTCTGCTGTGGTTGTTCTTCCGCCTTCCTCTTCTTCGTGAGTACCATCTCTTTATAGTCATTTTTCCACTGATGGACCGGGGCACTGTTGGCTGGGGCCTTCTAACGGCCTTGTTCTTTGAACAGGACGGAAAAGTGAGCACCTTGTTGATAGTCATCTCCCCGGAGGGGTGCTGAGGTTCCAGGGCTCTTGCTGATGGCTGGGGGAGCGGAGGAGCTGGATCACATGTTGTAGTCGGGGTCGATTTTGAGATCGTATCCATTGTCATACCTTTTGAGGTACAGGTCCACCTTCTCCTCCCCAAGCTTAAAGTTCATGGAGAATATTTCCTTGAGTCGGTGACAGTGAGTTTGTGACGTCGTGGATGGTTCAGAGGCAGAAGAGGCGGATGGGCAGAGGCAGACGAGGTGGATGACAAGTTCAGGGTAGGGACAGGGGACCCTGTGAAGGTTCAGCTGGGTTCAGCTTGTCACTTGTGAGGACAATGTCAGAGTTGTAGGGAAACAGCCCTGACTTGGTGAATCCCCTCATGGGCGTTTTAGCCGAGCTACTGTTGTCCAGGCCTTCAATTCAGGATGCTGGCAAACGTCATCAGTGTGACGGATTTCGTGGTGTCCCTCACAAACTTCCTTACCCCCTCTTACCACGCTGGCTTAATAATGGCCCTGAAAAACGCCTAGCCCAGAGGCTGTGTCAAGTGCTGGTGTGGGGCTTGATGCAATATAATATTGCCCCGTTCTCGCTGCAGAGGTCTGTGACGCGAAACCTCGCCTTACCAGACGCCATGGCGGCACTGCGCGCAAACCCCCATCCATCCCCTCAGAGAGGCTGAGCGGCTCTGTGCTTTGCTTAGTACTGATGCTATACGCACAACACACTGTTCTGTGTGTAGTGCAAGTATACACATCTTCATAAAATGCATTGACAGCCTTACAACTGCAGGCCAATACGTAATCAGCAAGCCTGGAAATAATTTGCCTCTGTGTACGAGCAATAAGCAACCACAGCGACCTGCAAATAATCTCAAGCTATTAAGAAAGTGTGCTGCCAGATGTTGATAAACGCGGGAACGCTCTAGCATGTTTAAATTGGTTCAGACCACAGGGTTGTCGCGCAGACCCCCCTATCAAACAAACCCGCTGCTACTCTATCCTCTACCCTCATTAAACAGAGATGCCTTTCTTCAGTTGTGATCAAACTAGCTAGATCTAGATCTAGATTCTAGATCTAGAATATCTACTTAAATTTTGCTATCTCAGAGACTTAGCGATACTCTAATAGTCTAGTTTCAATCATTTAATAATTATAATGATTTGCCTTTCAGCTTTGGACTTTGGCCTCGAGATTCTAGAGCTCTAATCTTGATCTCTAGACTCTAGTCTACTCCTTCTTAAAACAGACGTGTTTCGGAACACTGACATAGACTCTCAATTTGTTTTCATCTTTTTCAAAATTCAAAAAGTCCTTGCGGGCATGGAATCTCCAGCAGTCTAGATCTAGAGATCAGATAGCCTAGCTTTCTCAGTAGGCGGCCTAACTTAAATTTTCAATTTCAATTTCATGGGGGGAACTGCACTAAAAAAAATTGAATTTGCCGCTTGCGCCTACTCGGAACGCAAGGTCCACTTTTTTAAAAGTCAGCTGGGCGCTTGATTCAAGATAAGACAAAAACATCCTTTGAATTTTCAGTTATTTCCAAAGAAACAGTCAATAATAGACAGTCCAACGTCATTGAAATGCTACGATTTCTAACAAAGAGGACGAATGTGGGTGCATCATTACATAGAATTATGAAGTCTTACCTTCCCTCAAGATCTATAGGCAACCCCGACGACTTGTTGGGTGAACCGTCCATATTTCGTTTCACCAGAGAAGACTGTCGTAGTCGTCTGTCTACCTGTGCGACGACAGGCCTAAATCAATACAGGTGTGTTCACTCAGCCTTGGCCTATCTCAGCCGACAAGGGGACACTCGAATATGTTTTGATTGTTATGCGCATGCGCGAACTTCCCACTTGAAACTTTCAGCATCCATTTCCGGTCACTTTCAGTTCCAACATTCGAAAAATAAATTTGATTTTAAAATTAGTCACAAAAGCAAACAGTGTGATAGTATTTAGTCTTGGGATATATTCTTGTTGAAACGCTATCATATCTATATTTAAAGCATAATATATAAATAATTTACGCTAGCCAATTCGACTTTGGGGCCTAAAGTTGTTAGGCCTACTTGTCCACAGTCCAGTTTACGCGGGTGGGACGAAAGCGGAAGTTTTGAGTGGGAACCGAGAGTGAAACCGAAAGTAGAAAATAAAAAGTGATTTGAAGTGCAAGGAGGCTGATAAGGTCCTTGTTGGTGTGTTTTGTTCGCTTCAAAAACACATTGTCCTGTCGGCTGCTACCCAATATTTTTTAAGTTAACTCGTTGTTTGGGATTTTATCTCAGTAGAGTTTAAGTCTCGTTCGATTTCGACGCTTCGTTTCTAATTCTAACGAAAGTCGAAAGGCCAATTCTAACGACCAAGAAGGAAAGAAAGCATAGCATGTGTGGTCGCAAGGCTTGGTGAGAAGAGAGATTGTTTGTCTGACTTCAACTTAGATTCTAGATTCTAGATCTAGATCTAGATTATCTAGATCTAGTTCTAGATCGACTTCAACTAGATTTTTAGATCTAGATCTAGATCTAGTCTAGATTCTACAATATAATAGGTCACAAGGCCTTTCAGTCATATTAGAATTAGAAGGCTATTGACTATACTATCATAATAACTATACTATGGAAGAGGCTAGCCATACACTATCTAATGACGGCTAGACTGCTAGGCTAGCTGTACTTAAGTACGGATAGACTGGTTGGCTACGGCTAGACAGCTGGGCTAGCCGTACTTATTCTTTTGATACCTAGATCTAGACTGACCGTAAAAAAGGCCTACTGAATTGTAAATAAATTTTTAGTTTGCAGTACCTAAAGTAGATCTATTTTATTTGTATTTGAGACGAAACCAGGTGCCTTCAGTGCATATATAAGAGTCTAGATCTATATTTATTCTAAACCTTCTGTTTTCTAATAATAGGGCTTAAGATAAGTACGGCTAGCAGACGGATAGAGGCTGATACCAAAATGTGCCTCTCTGACTTGCATTTTAAACCTGAATATTTTACTAGATCTCTAGATCTAGATTTAATGAGACCTGTGTACTCAACAGGTTCGAGTCGATAGGGCCAAACCTAGATCTAGGCCTAGATCTAAGTACGGCTAGACTCTCAGGCCTTTTTGACGGTAGCTGAATGAAGAAAGATGTGTGGGAAGCTGTCTGCATGACATGGGGTATCAATTCTGAAAGTTTCTTCCTTATGAACATTTATTTTTAAAGTATCTTCATTTGGCAATCTGGAAATTGTAGCCTGTTCATCTCTCGTATTGAGTCCTGTTATAGTGATAAAAATTGAGGGAAATATCCTCACTGAAAGTGAAATCCATTGTAATGAATAATAATTGTCTTTCGGTTTCCGAGTTCTTGTAAGTAAAAGGAGTACATGTATGAACCACTGAAAGTACTGACTTACAGTGTTTTCTTTATTCTATCTGTTACTGTCTGTTCAGCACTCTAGCCCCGGATGACATTATTCAGGCTTGCACATACAGAGACAAGAGAGGGAAACGAAGACGCCCACAGTGGAAAGATGCTCCTGGGGGTCAGCAGTACTCAACATCATACAACATGGCACCTGGTGCTCATGCGTATGTTCATTAATCATTGATAATGACAGACACTCTATATTGTCACCACAACAGCAATTTAGTTAGCAAATCTTTTACTTTGACCAACACTGCCTCTCCCACCCCTTTCCTTAGTTTTACTCTTTAATTTTAATTTTATCTTTCCCCTCTTTGTACTCACTCTTTCAGTGATTTAACCCTCCATCGTAATTAAAGGACTGACAAAGTCTATATTTGGAACGCTCTCCCACAGCACTCAGGGAATACAAAATGTGTGAATTGTCATTCCTTTAGCTGGCCCACGACTGTAATCATACACGAAAAGTGCAATGAGCAGTAACTCGGCTTACCTAGTTGACCTGGTAGAAATGATGTCAACAATGAACTTGCATCAGAGGAGTTGTGTTGCTCCTTTGCTGGATGCTGGCGACTCATTTGTGAGGCATTCTGGTGAAATCAGGCGCTCATCTAAATAATGAAATCGGGAAAAAAAGGCATAATTTTGTCAGCAGTTTGGCAGTTTTTATTGAAATTGTTTTTTGGCTAAACACCTATGTTCATATGAAAACTCATTTCCATATATAAATTTTACTGAAAAACCTTGTTTAAAGGCACGAAATATAATTTTCAGTTTTCAAGGACTCTTGAGCTATTGAAGTTATCAAACTTTGGCGACCATTTTCTAATTAATAATCTAACCTCTGAAACAAGGCTACCTCACCTTTTTCAGTCGCATCTCGACTTCTGTTTAAAATAAATGGATATTTTTTCACCAAAAGGAAGGCAAATGAATAGGCTTTAAGATAATACCAATAACCCCTCCAAAAATTGATGAGCGCCCATTCCTCCGCGTCGTGACACATTTGTTTGTTTTACCATAGTACTCTGTCTTTCTTGTCTAACACATTCCTTTTGTTTTACACTTGACTGCACACTGTCTTCCTCTTCTGATATATATATATTAAAATTTTGTAGAATTTTACACTCACAGCAGAAAGCCTACCTTAACACCGTTCCTCCAAAGGGAAAAAATAAAACAACCTGTAGTGAACGTTACATTAACATGTTCTTATGCACAGTAGAATTGTAAGTGGGCTGATTTTAAATATCATGCTCATACTGTGCCGGAACAACATAGGGGGAACTGCTTTTTCATAGTCTTTCCTCATCCTTACTGTTGTCATTTGCCTCTACTTCTTTTGTATGTTTTTTCACTCTCTTGTGAATTGCTTTTTCCGGGGTGCCTTGACTGTCATAGCAGACTTTGTGCTGTTGAGGCTAGAGAGGTGAACAGAGTAAGTCAGATTCCCCGTTTGGGTTTCTCTGTTGACATCCACCCCTTGGCGCTCATATGACCATATGCAGTTGTGAGCACCGTAAAACCTTACTAAGACATACAAACACCCCTTGGCGCTCATATTACCTCATAAGTTGCGAACGCAGTAAAAACCTTAATTTAAAAAACTCTAACACCGGACTCTCTTTTGTGTACAAACGTGTGTCTCAATTGTTTTCATATTCATATGTCCACATTTTGGCTCGGGTACCATGGTCTATAAATATCAATGTATTGATTTCTCATCATTTGGACATCTTCCAGAAAAAAAATTCTGAACTTTGTAATTCTATTCTACTGATGATCTGAAAGTTAACAATTTTTTAAAATAACATACTCTTGCTGTTCTATTGCTTGAATTTTTATTTTGGATTATATTTTTTGGGGTGGTTTATAAAATAAACTATCATCAGATGGTTTGAATGTCCTCTAACTGTCACGTGGGCCATTTTCTTTGACATCCCTTTTTCCTCGTCTCTCCTTGATTGTGAACACTTGGAGAGAGAAAGGGCTGTAAAAACTGTATGTCATCCGAATTTGAGATTGTTTTTGTGATATTTATGGACCATGCCAGTCTGTAAATAATTTATTAAAGAAGTCCCCTGATGTTTTGTTCCTATTCTTACCAAAAGTGATATCTATGCTTCTTGTGTCAATTTCAGACCTGTTCTAGTGTCAAGCCGTCAGTTCAGTGAATGTGGGTCATGTGACAGAGTGGTGATGCCAATGAAGTGGGGGTTGACTCCGTCTTGGCACAAAGACGACCCCTACAAAGTTCCTTATGAAACCAACAACTGCCGGATGGAGGGGATGCTGGAGAAGAAAACATACAAAATTCCTCTTCAGAAAGGCTATCGCTGCGTTGTTCTGATGGATGGGTATGAAAGCTAATTTGTAAAATAAATTTGTCTGTCTTTTTCCCGAAAAGTCTTTCAGCAGATGCGGCCCTATATAAATTTCTTGCAAAACTACAGTCGGGCACAGATATCACAAACACGGAAAACTTGAAATCACAGACAGCTCGTACAATTTGCCATTCCCGGACTGATGTCTCTTTAATTTTTCCTTATTGGTTTACTCGTATTAGGGTTGTGGCAAACACATCTGTTGATCCCCATCATGTTTGAGTTATCCTTGCGAGACTGTACTAAATGATTGTACAGAGGTTTTGTTGTAGCAGTAATGGATTTCCTGAAGTTAGGATCTTTTTTTTTTTTTTTTTTTTTTGTTTTTGTGTATAATTATATCTCTCTTATCTCTATCAGAAAACTCTTATGGTGAAGTATTTTGGAAGGTAAATTGACCTGAACAGATCTTAAAGATCCCTTTTTCCATGGTGCAATCTCTATGATCATCTGTGGTGTTCAGTCCTTACTATCATGTTAATCCTACTTTTATTGTCAACATGAGAACATAATTTCAAAGACGAAAAACAACATTTACTGTGTTTTTGTCTTTGTTGCTATTTATGAAGAGGTTGGATGACATCAAGAAGGTATTGTCAGTAGCTCTGCAAAACCCATGAAAGCCTTCTGTAGAATATGAGCTGGAGTAGGGACTTATTATTGTTGGTTTGTGTTTGTTTCTGACTGATTGTTTATTGTCATCATTGCAGATTTTTTGAGTGGAAGACAAATAAGCAAGGAAAGCAGCCATACTTTTTCCATTTCCCTCAGTCACCTGGTGTCTCTTTTACTAAGAAATTCAAATATGAAGTGGGCAACGTTTGTAAACTTGAGTATGAAACAAAGAAAAATAAAGGAGTCAAATCAGATCAGTGTGATGGGGACTTCAGTGTGAAAACAGAGACCCAATACCACACGGATAAGCAGGTAAAGGAAGAGAGACTAGATCCCAATGAAAATATGCCACCGCTTTCGACAGAAATAGGTAGTGTGAAAAAAGAAGAGAAGAAATCTTTTTTGAATGTAAAGGAAGAAAAGAAATCTTCCTGGGATAAAAACAGAGATGAGAAAACTTTCTTAGATCTAAAGGAAGAGAAAAATTCTTTCTGGGATGCCATGCCGGATTCTACCCCAAAGGACAATGCTCAAGGGGAAGCAGATGTTAAGGTAGAATCTGCCTTCGTTGATGAATTGTCTCAAGGCAAAAACCTTACCTTAGAAAATGATAGAGAGTCTCAGAAAAGGAAATTTGAAAGTGGTGAGCCTGAGGAGGATGGAGAGGAATGGACCGGTCAACGCCTTTTGACCGTGGCTGGAGTCTACGATATCTGGCAGTCTTCTAAGGTAAGTGCACTCTTGCTACTTCTGTTTTTTTACATATATATTCAAACCGCCAAGCCTGGTTACTGCTACGTTTTACCAATTCACTAACAAGAATGCCTGCGTGAACATTTTAATTGCACATTTAAAAACTGCCATCTGCTTTCTGCCTGAGATGTATGAGCCTTACTAAACAAATGTAAATTTGTCCTGAAACACCGCCACTGAACTGGCAACCCAAAGTATATACTAATAATAACGGCACACTGTACCCATTCGTCGGCTGCGCAGTGATAATTTTCCTTCCTCCCTGTTACAACTGTGCGAGCCAGCAAGTACCACATGCAGAAGCCTTGTGGCCATCTCAGTTTTAGATGAAGGAAAATAACTTTATTATATTGTCTTTCATCTAGTCATTGAAGAATTATTTCCCTAGCTGATAGGCTGGCAGTACACCATTAAATACAAACTTTATAGTTATCCAGCGATCTTCATGCTCATTCCAACATTGGTTATAGAATGGGATTTGACTAGTCTCGACAATCTCCTGAGAGGTGTAGCATCACAGTGCTTAAATAGAATAGGTTCTGAATTGGCATATTGACTGTGGAAGACATTAGCCCAAATTTTTTATTTTTTTATTTTCCCTGCTTTAAATTTTATTTCTATTCTTTTAATTAAGCTCTTTTGGCATTTGGTGGGTTTATTTTCATAGAACCAATGTTTCCATTCAAAATGTAAACACCTGTTTTCTTAACATGAAAGTAAAATAATAATAATAGATAGCATTTGTATAGCGCAAATCCCCGCTCAACAGCAGGCTCTAAAAATAAAAGAAAGTGTAGGCAGGCTACATTTTAGGTTCCATTTTAGGTTCCATTTACCATGCAATTAATGGTTGGGCTGATTTTTTTAAATGTTATGACAAAGATGAAAGAAGCTTTTCTGGTTTCGACATGTCTATTCTGATCTTTTTCAAAAGTTAAGTTGTTTCGAATTCCAGCTTTCTATCTTATACCTGCATTGATCGAAGTCCTTTTTTTTTTCAGCATTATCAATGTCTTAATCATTCATGTTGAAATATGACCCTTATTGTGCTGATCAGGATGGCAGCAATATATTATTAAATTGTACATTGTTTTATCTCCTCATCCGTCTGAACATGTGAATAAACCAGCTTTATGACATTGTTTAATATCTCTACACAAAGGTCTACTGAGTATGAATTTATTTGATTTAAATGTCATTAATATGGACCCTGGAGTAGACTGCACTCCAAAGATGTAATACAATACGGCTCAGACAATTTAAATGGGCTCAAGACTGCTATTTGATCAAATTTGCTTTATCATTGACTTAAAATAAATTAGAGGAAAAATTCTACTTTGATACAGCTGTTAACATGTGCCCTCATTAAAAACAAATGTTAGAGCTTTTGGGTTGCTTCTTATCAATTATTATTATTTGCTTTGAATAAGTATTATTTTGTTTTTCCCAGACATCTGCTCCTCTGTACTCGTACAGTGTGATCACAGTCCCATCTTCTCCGGGCTTCAGCTGGTGCCACCATCGCATGCCGGTACGTTGTGAACAGCTTAGTGTGGGAACAACATGGTTAATAAAGAACAGATTAGTTTCAGTACTACCAAAGGGTTGTTGCATACATCTGAAAACGATGTATGGCTTGGTGCTGGCTTGAAGTAAAAGACAAGGGACATTTTGTTCTTGTTGAAAAATAAGCCATTTGCTACTTATACGCAAACTGTGCCCGACCGAGTCGGACCACCGACATGTATTTACATGAGGGCAATACCACTCATTCAAGCCAGTCCAGGTTTATTCAAAATTATCCATGTTTTCCAACTGCTTGTTCAAGCACAGAAGAGTCCTTTCCCTTTCGAATTCACCGAAGTTGAAGCCAGTTTAAGTTGATTAGAAGTGAAAAAATGTCTTCGAAACAAGTATTTACAATGGATGTGGGTGGCAGCTCCGGTCCTGGGGATAGGATCAGTTGGTGTGGGGCCGGTCCCGAAGGTGTTAAAGTTGGTTGTACTGCAGGTTGTCGAAGGTAGGAACAGGAACAGTTGACACCTTGAGAGTTCTATCAAGGAAAGGAAGAAGATGAAGATGTTCTTAATAGATGGGGGAGAGACTGGGGGAGAGGTATGAATGTGTTTTTATTTACTGCTGTAGTCTCATTTTGAGCTTGTTTGCCTTTTGTTCTCCTTTCTGTACAGATGTTTTAGGAAAATCTCATGTACAGTGTGATCCAAAAAAAAACATGTACTACTTTTTTTCTAAATATCTCAGACAAAATTTGTACAATTAAGAATGTTGTAATTTGGTACAGATATAATTCATTCAAAAGGAATTTGTTTGACATAAAATTAATGAAGAAGAAACTTATTTTCGAAAATGGAAATGGCTTTTGTAAAAGCCACCTCTTTAATGCAAAATGCAGCAATTTAAAAGATCTTGTAATGAAAGTCAATAAAATGATTGGTTTGTTTTTTCCTTTCCTTTTATTTTAAAAATCTAATCTTTCCATCCCTGTAACCTTTAAACAATATGTCTTTTCTCCTTCAGAGTTTAAAAAATATTTTTAAAGTCTAGAATTCTGAGAATCGCTGGTTTCCTCCTTTGGACTCGACACATTTTGACGCGTCGTTCGTAATGTTCAGTGGGGCAAACACCAGGATCCACTCAACCATGAGTATTCAAGGCTACACACACTGTACACCTTACAGTATGGAGCTATTGCTAGAGACAATTGGGGGTGGAGGGGGGGTGAGGTTGCCCAAATAGACAGCATTTTGGAGTTGATATAACCGGAAAGGTGAATATGGGCTTTGCCAAGGAACAAAATGTCATAGAGGAAATGCTCACGCTTTTCAAGAAGATTGAGGAATCATGAACACATTGCTATCCTCTGATAGCTTTGGGAACGGGAAAATAGTACAGTGAAAGATGAAGATCTGCCTTGAGAATGCGGACCGTTGAGATGTAGGAAAGTCATTGCTTGCTGTAGACATCGTCTAAGGACAGACGTCTCATGGGGCTCATCTACTGAGTTCTGCTCCCTGGTGACGTTTAAAGGGGTGCGAACGGTGTGTGTTGTGCCTGAAGTGGGTTTTTTTGTGTGGGAATTTTTAGTTCTGATTCTCTGCATCTCTGCAGGTTCTAACTGATGATCGTTTTCACCCTTGACATCAGAGAAGGCCTTCAGGGCGCTTGAACAGTCTTTCTGTACCTTGTGTGAAACTTACGAATTGAGTTGATAGTGAGGAAATGTTCAATACAAAAAGCTCTCTGCTCTTTACTTATCTTAACCATGATCTCAGCAGGCAAAGATAACTTGAGAAAAACTGTCTGCAAACTTCTGTTCGCTTGTTAGGCTACTTTAGTTTGCAATATGCCGCAATCGTTGTTTTTTTTTTAAGTGGTAGACTTAATGCGAACTAGTATGTCTTGCTACAAAAATGGGAACATAGCTGAAATGGGTTGGTTTTTTTATGCACTATGTAGAGCAATACTATTTTGTGGATTTATCTAAAATGAATATCGGACAAATTCCTTTTAACTTCCAAATGTTGTGTCCTAATTTGAAACGCAAAAGTTTAGTGTGGAGGAAAATATTAACAAAAAAAGTTGTACAGTTTTTTTCTGGATCACCCTGTACATCTATCCGATTGAATGCTGCTATGTTCTTTTAGGACGTCATGGCAAAATAAATCTTGTTCTTGATGTTCCAAACTTTAGGCCATTTTGACATCCGAGGATGAAATCCAGGACTGGTTGGATTCTGCAAGAGTTCCTCTGAAAGAGGTAGGCTTCACGACCAGTTGTAATGTTTTTGTCGCATTACATTAATTATTTATTAATTTATGAACTCATGACACAAAATGCTGTAATCGTTGGTCATAAGTATTTTTAAAAACTGTTTTTTATTACTATTTTAAAATAATTTTTGCTGAAAGGGTGCTCGGTTAGCTCAGTCGGTGTCATGCTGGATAAGCCCAGTAAAGATGATTTGGTTTCGTTTCTACTTTTGTTGGGGTTTTTTTGTCCCCATACATTTTTGGGAGCCTGTTACTGTTACTACTGAGGGTAGCGGGGTGTTCCGTTAGCCAAGTTGGTATGAAGCTAGATTACGGATGGGATGGCTTGGTTCGAAAACTAGACTGGGCTTTCTTGAACTTGGGTTGCTTTGTGGAGTTTACAAGGCTCAAACCCATTTGGCTGAATCCTATCGCAGACAGAAGTTAAATTCAGAGGTCTCACCTCTTAAATAACCTAATGGTATTGATAAGAGCATTAAACCCATGCAGTTACACTTTTTACCTATTGTGTTATTATTATTATCATCAGTATCATCATGTTTTTGATTATCTTTTGACTTTCTTGATTAGTGTGAAAAAAATAGTGATGATGTTGCTGCTAATATCTTATGATATTATTTACGGAGGAAAAAGCAGTAGTACGAGGATGGATGAAAAAATGATGGAAGTCGTGAAGTATTTAATCTCATAAACTTTCAATATTATGAATCTTAAATTTTTAGTCCCTTGATTTATATTCTTGTCAACTTTCTCTAGGATTGCAATTTTAACCAGAAGTCACAGAAAGCTAAGTCAGGACTGTAGACTGGATAAGGCAAAATTCTTGGATCCCTTGCTCTTGTATGCACAGAGTTGTGACCCTTGCTTTGTGGGTTACTGCATTGTTGCAGAGGAACATTGTGCAAGAGAATCCAATCTTAAGTCTCGACTTATTAACGGCACTTTTCAACTGGGGCAGTACCTTTTCAATATAGTAAGATGAGGTCATAGTAATGTGATATGTATTGATACCAACCCCAAATTGACCACTGGAAGGGAAAAAGACAGCAAAAAGCCTCTCTCTGCTTTGACATCCCTAATGCAAAATGACAGGCCTGTCTCCTTTTTCATCTATCTTCATGTGAATCGGCCGTTTTGATGGAATTCCAATAAAGGGAAACCATGTTTCATGCCTCTGGACAATGTCTGTAGGTCTCTTGAACCCATGGGGTTTCAAACATTTTGAGCAATTCTGTGGCACATTTCACCCTCTCTCTTTTATAGTCCTCAGTTAGTAGATAGGGTATCCAACAGGCGCACATTAGATTTATATACAATAAAGTTCTCTACAGATTATATTTTGCACTGACCTGAACAGAAGTGTAGACATAATGTCACCAAGTTCTTGTATAGAGGTGTGGTGATCTTGCACAATATGGTGCTAGATGACATCAAGAGTTCTGTGGTTCTCAGAAAAAATTTGGGTGGCCAGAATGTGGGTCATCAAAAATGTTCTTTCTCTTACTCAAAATTCTCTTTCCCAACGATGAACTGATATAATATGACCAAGCATTTTTCAGAAACAGCCTTTCTTTTAGCTCCTTTTTCCATTTCAGTTACTACCACCACCTGACCTTTATTAACATAAAACACTTTCAGGCTGAGCAGTGAGGAGGAAGGGCCAGTAACTTTTATGTGTTTGTCTTTCTCTTCAGGCCTCTTCCCTGATCAGACCTACAGAAGGTCTATCTTTCTACCCCGTCACCAAGTCCATGAACAACTCACGCTACAAGGATCCAGACTGTCTCAAACCTGTTGACATCAGGTGAGTGCCAGTTTCCTCCGCATGAGACTTGTGTGGCTGGGTACAGTTGGGCACAGATAACATGTACATGTCCATTGGAAACTCGAATACACAGAAAGTTCATACAATTTGCCATTCCCTAGCTAAATATCTCTTTAATTTTTCGTTATCAACCCAAATTATGGATGCGTTGAATACATTTATTGTCAGTCCTCGACATGTTTGAGTTTTGTGTGCCCAACTATTAGCTGGCTATGGTACATAAAAATAATAATGTTTTTGTACTTTAAAAAATGGTTTATTTATGAGATAGGATTTGAGTCTGCCTGTCGAGGCCCTCCCAGGCTAAGAGGAATCAATATCAAATACAGAGATGTTCGGCAAAAATTGTCCCCACTCAGGAGTCAAACTCTGGTTTTGTGCATGCCACAGTGAAGTGCCTTACCACAGGCACCTGTTAAAAAGCTCTGTTTTATCACTATAATAATAACATTATCAAAAGAGCAGTCCTTAATACTGATTAATATTTAACCCTATCCGTACGCCCTGAGGTAATTCTGTACCCATGGGGTTGTATTCTTCACATTTTAAAATACTTCTAGTACAAAGATCTCTTTGAAACTTTTCATATTTCTCAAAAAATAATTTTGACAGACTGGGTCAACAGGTCTGAATAACGAGTAAATTTCCTCTTTGGAAAGTGGTGGCGCAGAGTTCCCCACGTCATATGGATGCGATAGTAAAACACGACGTATGGATAGGATTAAAGTAAGCTAGAGTTAAAAGAAGAACAATTTTTATTTTTCCTTCTTGGAAGAGTTGTTTTCCAGGACCGTACTCTGATAATAGTGATGATACCAGAATTATGGAAATCTCTGCAAATTTTTCAAAAATGGGGGATATATTACCTCCATTTAATTTAAGTTAACCCCCCCCCCCCCTCCTCCTCCTACTCCTCCTCCTTCTTTCTCTCACTCTCTCTTTCTCTTTATCTCTCCTCCTTTCCTCTTCCCCGTCTCTGTCTCTCTCCTCTTTCTCTCTTAGAAAACACAAATTACTTTTGTATGCATCATTTTCTGTTATGGTGCTGCCAACCCTGGTTTGAATTAATTCTTTAGGCTAAGGCTGTCTTCTTGAACTCGTGGGTTGTTTCTGAAGTTTACTGCCTCTCTTTCTATGTCATTCTTTGGCCTTCTGTTGTCTGCTTTCATTTCCACTTTCTGCCCCCACCCCCTCACCTCCTTTGCCCTCTCCTCTGGGCTCCTGACTCTTTCTGCAGCCTTTCTACTGCTACTTCTTGGCTCCTCCCTGCTGCTGTCTTTCTGCCACACCTCTGATCTTCTGGTAGGAAAGATCTACACCTAGCCTTATCGGGCGAAAAATCTCGGAGGGCCCGTGTGCAAGTTGGCAACGTTAAAGATCCCTTGGTGGTCTAAAATCGATAAGAGTAAGCTTCGGCCGCCACCGGGGCAAAGTTCAAAATTTCCTACCAACTGAAAATATTAGGTGTGTCCCGCGCGCTCATATGACCTTATGCAGTTGCGAGCGCCGTAAAAACACTTACCAAAACAAACAAACAAAATTCTTTGGCCCATGACCAGCTCCTGGCCTATATATACCTTATTGATTAATGTCTATAGTACCATAACAACTGTACTACTGTCCTTTAAATGAGATTAGCCTTCGTGTTTTGCGATGGTTTCATTTTTTCTTTCCAAAATGCTTGCATCATATCGAGGATTAATACAATTACTGTAGTAAAGTAGCTGTAGTATTTTTTTACTGGGACTTATAGCCATCAATCTATGTAGATGTTTGTCTCTTTCCAACATTTTCATTGCTTTTTGTGATTTCTTTCTCACTTGTCTAGCAAACCAAAGCCCAGCCCAAGCAGTAATCTCATGATGAAATGGCTCAAGACAGCTTCTCCGGAAAAGAAAAAGAATTAGTTAATGTGTACCCAGGCCTGTATATGTTAAATCTAATACTAACCGGCCCAGTACAAACAGAATGTTACTTGTTGATGAGCATTTACTGGCAGGGAATTATTGGAATTTACTCCATACTGTTTTATTATGTACCAGTATTTCTGTTGTTATAATGGTAAATTCTGACCATTTATCAGGTTGTTGTACTGTTTTCCATTACTTTAATAAAATAGGCTACTGTAACTGCATGGTATTTTTTTTACATTGAATACTCTCTGCTGGTTTGTTCAGAAACATGCCTACAGCAAAAGTGGAAACAGGTCTTGGTGGAAAATAGATTGTTTCAGTATAATCCATATACTGGGTGCGTTCCTTTTGGACCAATTGAACCACAGGTTGATTTTTTTCGCTAGGTAGTAATCAGGCAAAAGAACTATTACAGTTCTTAGCTGCATCGTATACAAACTGGTCAATGAGTGCAAGAAAAGTTCAGTTCTGCTAATTCTACTGAACACATCTGACTTTTTAAAGAATTCTTTGCTCTGAGAGCAAGAAGTCTGTAAACACTACTTGGGGGGCTCACGTGGCCTAGAGGTTAAGGTGTTGGCCTCTCATTCAAAGGTCCCGGGTTCGAATCCGAGTAGCGACCAAAAAATTTTCTTCTCTAAAATTGTCTCCTTTCACCTCCTTTCCTGCTCTCTAGCAATGTTCTGTTGTCTGCTTTCATTTCCACTTTCTGTCCCCACCCCCTCCTTTGCCCCCTCCTCTGGGCTCCTGACTCTTTCTGCAGCCTTTCTACTGCTACTCCTTGGCTCCTCCTTACTGCTGTCTTTCTGCCACACCCCTGATCTTCTGGTAGGAAAGATCTACACCTAGCCTTCTCGGACAAGGGCGAAAAATCTCGGAGGGCCCGTGTGCAAGTTGCGCACGTTAAAGATCCCTTGGTGGTCTAAAATCGATAAGAGTAGGCTTCGGCCGCCACCCGGGCAAAATTCAAAATTTCCTACCAACTGAAAATATTAGGTGTGTCCCGCGCGCTCATATGACCTATGCAGTTGCGAGCGCCGTAAAACACTTTACAAAAACAAAACAAAACAAAACACTACTTGTCCAAAAGAGACCCCATCTCTTACTGGTCCAAAAGGAACTTTGTAGTAGTCACGGGTCCAAAAGGAATTTCCCCATTAACTGAATAAAGAGTAAAGTTCACTTGCATGAAAAGTAATTTGTCTTCTTGGTTAGGGGGATGTTTACTAATAATTTATAATACTAATAGTGATGGTTGGGGGTGGGGGGGGGGGGGGGCTTAGATGTATACACAACAGTTCTTTATTTGTGTTCTTATACTTTTGATTTATTATGAGTTTTACATGGTTGGGTAAATATGTTGTATTTTGTATCCAACCTCTTTCACTTTTTTTTCTTGCTTGTTACATAAAGAGTTGTAGTTCCAAATACATACATGTCTTTTGCATTTATTGTTTTTCACACTGTTGTTGAGTGTTTAACATCATGTGTTCAAACTGTTCTTGAGCCAGTTCGAAACTGGCGTTGTGAATATAATAAAGAGATTTTACAATTTATGCACAAAATGTCAGTTGAGAATGATAGATACTGATACTTTATCCCACTCAGCCTGGGTTGACCATATCAGGCACAGTTGAAGCTGTCCGTGGCTGAAATTATCTTCATTACCCAGTACTGAATTCAGGAGATGGGTACATAAAACTTAAACATTCAATCATGCACATTTGTATAAAGACCTCCTCAGCATTTTCCCCTCACCATGACTTATTGCCCTCCAGTCTTAAGTTGAGGAGATGAGAATATGCATTGTCTTGAGACTACTGAGACGAACTATTCTTTTGATATATGAGTTGAGTTCCTAGTTTTACAGATTCACGTAAAGTCGGGCAAGGATAACTCAAACAGGGGGATTGGCATATAGGTCTACTATGTGTTCAAATTATCCATAAATAATTCAGGTTAACTGACTTTTAAAAAATTAAAGAGATATTCTGTCAACAAATGACATATTGTTCAAATTATCTGTGATTTCAAGTTTTCCTGTTCATGTTATCTGTGCCCAATTAAATATGTATTATGTTTTTTAAAATTCCCACAATCTCAGTTTTTGCCGCCTGTTTGCTTCTCGGCAGTTAGTGTCCCTTTTGTTTTCTTTCAATCCAGGAATCATATTATTACTTATAAAAAGAAATTCAAGGAAATAAAAAAACAATTAAAAATCATTGAATTTTATTTTGTTTTTGTTTTTTTTTGGGGGGGGGTTCCTTTGCTCCGCAGCATTCTGTTCCTGCATCGAAAGCTGAAGAATTGAAGGAGTAAAAAGATTTTTATGAACTGCTCAGTCTGTGTGTGTGCTGTTAATTTATAAAACTGCTTCTGGTGCAAAGGGCTATGTCAATAACAACAACCAACTGCTGGTGTCTTGGAGATTTTTCTTTTTTATCCATGCCTGTTGTGTATTAGGCTGAGGTGAGGAAATTTCCTGTACTGTAAGGCGCATTTTCCTGAGGACAGAACGTTGCGCCTCTGCAATACAGGATTCCAACCCACAACGTAACGGCTGAAAATCCAAGATACTTGTACGTGACTATGACTTTATGTGTGCATCATTCTAAGAGGCTTTTGAAATTATACCCTTTTACGGTTCTTATGAGTCTTGCTGTTTTGGAAGCGATTTTTTTATGGAACCGGTTCATTTGACGGTCTACCATTATAGCACAGACAACTTAAGACCCCATCTGACTGACCAAGATCTACCTGGTGGTCTACCCCGAAATTGTGTTCCACGGTAAGGGATGTGCAAGGTAATTTTCATATTCCATGCATCACCCCCATAACCTGATGCACAATTTTCAAGAAATCAAACTTTGACCCCCCCAAAAAGGTGGGGGTGGGTTGTGGGGGGGAGGGGAGGAGTGGGTATTTCTGTGTAGTATGACAAGCGTAGAGCGTAGCTGTATATTATATTGTGCAACGAAAGTGGTTTTGTATAAAATATTGTATCATTATGTATAGTAACCTCTTGGAGTACAACAAAATATACCTTATTTCAAGGACTGACTTTTTTCCTTTCACACTCTCACTGTCTCTCCCTGTCTCTATGTCTCAGTCTCTGTTTGTCTGTCTGTCAGTCTGTTTGTCTTCTCTCTCTCTGTCTCAGTCTCTGTCTCTCTCTGTCTCTCTGTCTGTCTGTCTCTCTCTCTCTCCCTCTCTCTCTCTCTGTCTCTCTCTCTCTCTCTCTCTCTCCCTCTCTCTCTCTACTCTCTCTCTCTCTCTCTCTCAAGTGTTCCTGCTATGTTAGAGCGGTCGGGGTCAACTTTAAAAACAGCTCCCAAAACCCCCTGCAAAAGCTGCACTGGAAGTGGAAGAAACATTAACGGAGACGTGGTGAAAAGATTGGCGACTGTTCACAGAAGTGGAAACAAGAACAGAAAATACACTTTCAGCTTATATCGATCACAAACAATGTTATTAACAAAATGGAATTAATGTATTATAACAAATAATGAAGTGCTGGAAATAACTGGGATAAAAGATATCATCTCGAACTGTCTCAAATTCCAAGTTCGGTTTGGTTCAGTTTCTGGCGGCTCCAGTGCGCACTATAAATAGACCAACCACCCAGACACGACAAAAATAATATACATGTACAAAGTAATGCAGACTCTCAGTCTCTGTGGGGGGTTTTCAAAAAAGAAAACTGAGAACATGTTAGGTAATGATTTGTCGTTGTCGTCAGCATCTTTTGGTGGTGGTAGTGTTTTACTTTTTCCGAAAAGTTCGTCACAAAGACATAAATATGTATGCTGCAAGTTTGAGAATCTTTCAATTTTGATATAAGGTTATTTATCTTTGCAGCTTGTGTGGTTCGTTTCCATTTTGTCTTGTTACCTTTGAAAATTATTTTGTCAATTATGTTTCTTGTCTTTCTCCATTCCGCTCTGCGTCATGCTGTCTTCACTGCCTTCACCTCTGAAGTGTACTAAGGGGAGTAAGGCCTCTGCGAGATGATCCTGGAGACCAAAAGCGCATGAGTATTGAGCACTTCTGACACTGCTTGGTTAAAGCAGTCAATGCTGACTTCCCGCAGGCTTGTCAGGGAAGCTTCGATGTTCGATCTGAGTTTTGTCATATTAATCTTTCAAAGATTTCTTTAGGTTGTTACGTTTAGATTTGTTGACTTTGATTTTGTAATGTCGAGGTCCAACAAAATAGTGTAGTGATCGGATGTCAGTTGATTCATAACACTGATATGTCTGAAGATGTAGCCAGTCTGTCATATAATGACCCAATAAAGTGTACGCCCAGCTTGATGTGTGGGCTCATGAATAAGCTGAGTCATATTTCTTTTTTTATTCTATTGTTTCTTTTAGGTGTTTTGCTTCATAATTAAAACTTAAATCCCCAAACAACAAAATTTCAGATGATAAAAGGGTTTGGAAATCGTGTATGGAGTGAGCATTTACAGATTTAATTTTTTAGATATTTTTTTTACTTCTTTGTGGGAGGGCCTAGGAATACAAACAACCAGGGGCGGTTTGTTAACTGGGCAAGACCGGCGGTGCCGGTCAGACTTTTGTCAACTGAACTGTTGACTAGAGGTTTATTGCTGATGACGATTTTCATTCAATTTTAAGTAAATCCAAACAAACATGTATCAACATTTAAAAATACCTTGCCGATTTGAAGGCGCTCAAATAGACAAGTGGGATTCACTGCTGTTTTGTCGCGACATAACCTCATTCCTTCACGTTTGTTATCGCGCCGGCTCGTAACTTTAAATCGTCCCCCGTCAAGCCGTCACGTCGCGGAACTTCGTACTACATACGAGGCCAAAGAGTGCCAAACACACGGCGGGCTTGGATTAGGCCTAGCGATGACGTCAGTCCCATGGACAAATCCATCGTCAGCCCACAGAGAGCGATTAGTACATCCCTTAATTGCCAGATTGGCCTCTTTGTAGCTTACAAACTTATTAAGAATGAGACTGTCTTGAGCAGCACAGACACATGTATTATTTTATCAGCAAAACATGTATTTATCATTGAGCCTTTCTCTAACTACTATCAGAACATTTATTGTCAGCATGGCATTAATCTTTTTTGTTTATTGACTTTTTAACCACCTATAGTTCCTATTTGGCATTTATTTATCGTTTTCTCCCCACTGATAACTTACCTGGCCCTTGGGAGTCTGGCCGGCGAAAGAAGAAATTGTCTAGTGAAGATATATAAGGAAAATTTTAATGAGGAGCGATAGACACTCGGCTGTCAGAGTCTGGGCCAAAAACCCCCTCCCTTCCCTCCCCTTTTCAACCCTCACCCCAGCTAGACACCAAGTTCTATAATTAGCATTTGACACACTTTCCCACTTGGTTACAACACAGTGTTCAGTGTTCAATTCTGAGAACTGAGAAGTGCGATGAAGTACATTTGATGATATAATGATCGGAAACTTGTGTGCTTTGTCCAGCTTTGTATGGCATCTGGTTGTAGGCTTGATCTGCTTGGGACAGCGTCACTGGTACAGTAGCAATTGACTTTTTGTCATCATACAGGACAGTTCTTATTACATATATTTAACGGGTCCAGTGCACGTCGATATTTTGTGTGGGGGTGTAGAAAGT